AACGGTATAAGTAAATTTTTAATTTGATTTTTTTTAATTATTTAGTAATAAAACCTATTTAAAACCTAAGCTACACAACTTTATTTTATTACCATTTTTGTCTTTTCCCTAAACATCACCGTGCGACTGTCAAAAGCAATAATGTCTAAGGTTCTTTTTCAGTTAGGCCAAATAAGATTTTTGCATCCGAATTTAATTATTTGACATACTCACAATTTGAAAATTTTAAGCCGTAAATGCCAAATTGCAAGTTTGTCGAATATTAAAATTCGGATGCAAAATGCCGAATTTCGCAAAGCTGAGAAAGGAAGTTAACAATGACATAGCGTTCAGGAGGAAAACCTAAAAATAAATCATAATCTTGAACAACCAACATCAACGACTATTATAAATCACTATTTTTTTCGTAAGATAACAAACACCCCATTATCTTAATTATTCTGACAATTTTATAAATCGCCCTTTTTCTGCCCACACAAGTTCTTTTAATCTATAATAACCATGTATTATTTTTCAGAATAATTTTAATGTATTTTTCAACAACCCTTATTTTTTTATTTATTTATTTATTTATTTACGGATTTCCAGTACATATTGAAAATACAAAATTGAAATACATATTAAAAATACAAAATTATTAAAATTAAATTAAATTAATTTAACACAGGTTACATATACAGACAGATACCTATTTTTAAAACCGCAGAAAAATTAACTATTAAAAGTAGACATAAAACTATAAGAAATAATGAACATAGAAGGTTAAGTATTAATAGATTATATATAGTTATTTTAATGTTATTTACAGCGATTTTAAAGCATTTTTGAAACTCCAAACCTAATTTTATCGTAATATTACAATATAGATTCAAAAAATATAATCCAATAAAATTTAAAATTACCTACTACGGTACTGTCAGGCAGAAATTAAACATTTTACTTCAATAAATAATTCTTATAATCCGGCTCTGACTTTTCCCTCTTGTGCAACAGAGAAAGCAACGCTTCTACCTCGCTTGATCGCAGACCACGAGATCAAAAGTGCCGCCGAGAGTGTTTTAGCTAGATATAAATAAGCTGTGGTAAGATAGAGGCACAGCTTATACAATACAGCTCCACAACTCCGTGTCGGCGCCTTTGATTTGGCGGTCGAGAACCAAGCAAGACGGAATGGTGCTATCTCTGTTAGATTCGACGGAAAAGTCGGGCCCGGATTAAAAAATATATTTATTATTTAAATAATTGAAGACCTTGGCGTAATAAGGTTGGTTACATGCCACATTAAGTAAGTTTTGAGAAATTAAGTTTTAAATTGGTTTTAAATCTGTCAAATATAAATAAAAAAATTATTTAAATATGAATATTACGAAAAATAGCACATCTTTCGGAGAGGTAAAATAATTTGTATGTGGCTAGTAATATCCTTGTTAACAGATGTTTTGAGCTAAAACAGTCACTTCACGACAAATTGTGGCTTGCATCCTTTTTACTTTCCTATCTGTATACAGATATAAGGAAAGTATAGGAATCATGATTTTTTCGACTTTATTTTTACGTTTTGAGGTCCCCTGAATCCGTTTTGACTATTTTCGCGATGATGTCTGTGTGTGTGTCGCATAACTCATGAACCGATACACAGAAAAACACCAAATTTTAATTAAACTTAAGCTTTGTTCCAGCGTCCAATGAACTGATTAGATTTTGGGCAGAGTCGGAACATCTGGGGGGGTACTTTATGAGTGGTCATTTTTATATTTTATGTAATATATCTGTTATTTACATTCGGAGAAGAAAATTCTTCAAATAAAAGTTACTCCTAATATTATTATCTATAATTTTTGTTATATACAAAATTTTCCTAAAATGGTACGTATTCGAGAAATTTGACAAAATGTGCAAAATTCTGATTTTTAATTGTTGAACTAAAAGTTGTTTGCGATATCGATCTTTATATTTTTGTTTAAACATGATTTTTCTAAAATGGACCGTAATGGAAAAATTGTAGGAAAAGTGCCGCTATATTAAAATTTTTCAGTATTTTCGTTTTCAATGAATATCTATGGAAAAATGTTTCGAGGTAGATGTATGTGGAAAATGTATATATTTAGTTTATCCTCTAAACATTTATAGAGGTGTTGCAATAGGTTGAACAAAATAACCTGAAAAAGCCTATAATAACTAGATAGGAAAGTCATGTGTTGGATACATCAGATTTTTACACTAAGGATTTCAATTGTGGATGGAAATCAAGTGGTACTCATCGCGTAAAGGGTTTATACCTAGATAAATGAATGCTTCGCCTGAGGTCTGGGAACTCGATGGTATTCTGGGTTATTATAAAGAATCGGGCACGTGTGCTTTTATTTTAGCAATATTGTTTTTTTTTTTAGTTGTATTCTTATTCATTGAAATAAAGATTTGTAGAAGAAATATTTTGATAGTTTTTATTAATATAATCAATTTTTATCTGACCGTACCGAATTTTGAAACTTGATAGTAATGTGAAATTTGAATATTACGCGAAATTACATAATTAGTACCTATTTTAGGTAGATACTAAATTTGTACTTGTAGAAAGTAATATCGATTTATACAAGAAAACTTGAAAAGTAAATTAATTTAGTTCCTATTTACTGATGTAAACATTAAACCAAGAAAACAAATAAATAGTAGTTTGTGTAACAAGAGTGGATATAGACAATCCACTCGAATTGAACAGTATATTTTTTCTACGACCGACTGAGGAAAATTTACAAATTTAAAAAAATATTTTAGGTTATTTAGACAAAATAACTAATTTTAAAATAATTTACGAATTTTACTAATTTATAAAATAAAATAAACATAAAATAAAAGATTCAATTTAATTTGTCCTCGGCCTAGATTCGATCCCGGGATTTTCGCGTGGAAAGCAGATGCTCTGTCCTCATCTTCACCGACACTTTTAGGATTTTAGTTTTAATACTCGTAATTAAATTAGTATCATGTAGATTGATTAAAATTTTATTTATTTTTTTTTTAAGTGTTCTTACTACCTAAAATTGATATGAAATATATTCGTTTAGCTCAACACAATAGCATACTTTTTCGTTTTGTAGTCTGTGCGTGATTAGCTAATATCGATGCGTAGAAAAATTATTTTGAACAGGGTCAAATTTACTACTTAAGGTTTATTTGACGCGGTTTAAATGCACAGTGTTTGCATATCATTTTTTGGTGAGTAGATGTCAGTTTAAGACATGTTTCAAAACACTCTGTATAAAATAAACCAGTTCTATCACCACTATTCGTTAGCTTAATATCTTATAAGTCTGTATATTAAACAATTTTGAATTCAATGTAGATCTACCTAAATTATGATAATTTAATTTGGGGTCATCTGCATCATTCTCTAATTTGAAAAAAAAAATTAATTGCTTGACGACGCACTGTAATATTTTTTAATACATTCTAGGGTTAAATACAGTATTACTAAACCATTCTAAAAATAAAATACAGGGTGTTCGATTTAAAAAACATACTCATTGATTTGCCAGGAAAAATATTTTTAAAATATGTATTTTTCAAATCCATATAACTTTTATTTAAAACTTTTTTGCGTGTCTACAACACAAATTGAAATATTGAATAATTACGCACTAATTATATTAACAATGAAAATTTCTTATAATGTGGTACTTTCCAGTTTGGGTCCTTGGGAAAACGAAAAAATATTTTCTTGAAGGTATAACCCTTATTAAAACAGCTTTTAACTGCACAAACAGAATAATGTCTTTTCTTTTTCACTCATTCTACTTAACACAACAGAGAGCTCAAACAAAATCATAGAAATTATAAGCTTAACGAAATTATGCGCACGGCTCAATACTTTTTTTTTAATTTTTAGTTTTTACACCCTTCAGACCTCCCGTGCTACACCCTAACCCGTCTGTAGTCTGGCAGCACTGCAGCCTGCGGCTTATTGTACCACCATTTGAAGGTCCTACTACTTTCCCATTCACATCCTCATTCATTCCACTTCGTCGATGGTTAAACGCTAGTCGGATGAATCCCATGGTGACACGGCCCATGGTGGAACCTCCCAGCGGTCACCCATCCACGACGTGGCCGGAGAGATCACTGCTTAACTGTTGGGAGTAAGTGGATGCGCACTAAGCTCGCGGCTAGCCTCTCCGGCGGCTCAACACCTTACCTAAGTACGCTTCTGAACGCCAAAGTCGTATTTTCTGTCCGAAGGCGGAGCTTAAGCGATGCGCGACGTAATCGACGCAAACCGTTGCCGCCAAGAGAGTGTTTTAGCTGTATTGTATAAGCTGTGATAGAGGCTCACGTCACTATGGAAACAGAGTGGGACACGCGCTAACAGAATGTCTTGCAATCCGCTATTTTAAGTGAAGATTAGGACGCAATTTTTTCGCGGCCTGTCTACATTTAGAATATGAGGGATCAGGCGCCTGCTCTGCTTTTTTAAAGTTGTTTTATAGTTTTCACGGAATTTTTACGAAATACGGTAAATGAGATAAGTATCTTAGCTATGATATCAATAAATAGAAATTTAGATAAATAATTACGACGAAAAGTCATGCAAAAATGTATTTCAATGAAGGATTGTAGGGTAAATTTCAATTTCAGGTCATGCCATGAACTTCCGTAAAAACAAAAATTAAAAACAATATAAATATATCGATTTTTTTAGAATAATTATTTTTGCAAGATGTTTTACTATAAGAAATTATTTCATTTTGTTTATTGACTATTGACAAGGTGCAGTATGTATTTTAATGAAAAAATTAAAAACCAATTTTTCATCATCCCCACCCACAAGCCAATTGGCGCCCCCTCCCCACCTTTGCAGCTCACGATTCACCACAGGTCTGAACAGATAATAAAAAACAGAATGGTTACACTAATTTATAAATATTTTACTCTATTAAAACTTAGTTACAATATTAGAGTATATAAAAACATTTTTTATAGATTCTTGATAATCTTATACTACTCTGATTTAAAGCTTAAAAATAATTATGATCAAAGTTAGAATTGCTGGATATTATAATTTGACCAAAAAAATCATTTTCATCTTTTGTTGATAAACCCAAATCATGGCATATAGAATCTAAGCTAAAACTCAATTTATCAAGTTTTTGATTATTCAAATTGTCTAGATTTATCAAAATAATGTCTAGACTTGATTTAATGTTGTTTTTGAGATTTTGATCTGTAGTATTTTTTTGACATTCAATATCACCTTCATCCATGTTTTCTGGTTCACTAAAGGAAATTTCAGTTTCATTTTTAGTCACTGTTGATGAAGTTTGTTTTTCTCTAGGTTTATTTCTAGTCTCATGCCCATAGTGTGTCTTGACTCTTGCTACATACAAGTTACCGTTAGTGTTTAATGTAGTTTTTATGTTACTGATACAAGTTACACAGTTATTTTTACCAAATGCATATTTTTTCTTTGTTGGATCTCTATGAGTATTCCCTGGAACAAAAATTTTGTTACAGAAATGTTTAAAAACAATTGACGCATTTTTATATACCTCTCTTGTTACATATATATTTGGAAATTCCAGGACCTTCATTAGTTTTAGATTTTCTTGAAAAAATAATATACTTACAATAATCTTCTTGTTCAATTTTGCTTTTCCAGTTGACGAAATCTTAAAAAAGAATATATCTACAGCTTGGCCAGTTCTTAAATCATCCCTATATCATTATAAACTGGTCAGACTGAAGAAAGTAGGTCACTATTATTCTTTGTTAGGATTGCCACCATTGATTACTTACCTGATTCGTTTTCAAATGTTAGCTCTTCTGTTTGGGTCAATATGTCGTGGACAGTCTCCAAATGATAAATTAGATCTTCGTGTAGTTTAAATAAATTGCTACATTCAAGACATTTGTAAATTGTAATACTTTCATCATATGACAAGATGTCTGGAGATATATTATGAATATTTATCATATGTTTTCTCAAGTTTCTTTCCAGCGAAAATGTTTTATTGCACTCTTTGCAGGTATATTCCATAATTATGTATGCAATGTTTGCAGTTTATTTTATGTTACATTTAATAAATATTTAATTTTTATTAATTATCCCATAAAGGCCATAAATTCCATTCTACAAAAATTATTAACTGTCAAAAGGCAGGGCAAAAGGTCAAACGTCAAACCAGAGACCCGTCAGATGCCAAACCACGAAACCACAGAAGTGACGAAACCACAAGTCAATTTTAAAAGTCACTTGTCATTTGTTTTACAATGTTGTCACACTTAAATAAATGCTTGAAAATCCCAAATAAATATTTTAATTCAAATTTTTGGATTCTTTTTTTTATATCCGATAGAGGATCTCAGGTATTATTCAAACATTTTTTGAAAACTGTCGGAGAACTAGCTTGCAATTATCGGAATCTTGGACAGTTTGTAGCAAATTTTGAAGATCCATCAGTAGTAGACTAGTAGTCTTTTTTGGCTTGAATGAAAAATACACTTACAGGTAGAGACTTGGGGTACACATCGAACGACTTTGACAAATTTGCAACCATTTGTTTTCTCTTTTTAGAGAACTGTCATGTGAAACTGATGAAGTTTAGAAATATACAGGCATATAGTTACGCAATTTTCAACCCGGCAAATAAACATAGGTCAGTGAAGTTGAGTTTGTCCCCAATTATATTTAAAAAAAAAAACTTTTGCACCAGAATGCACTAGTGATGCACCAATATGCACCTCGAATTATTTTTTTCACCACCTTCCTTAAGAAAAGACAACTATCTCTTTGAGGGGGCAGCCTCTCTGTTATGTGCGAGACAATGGGTCCTATGATTGAACGTTTACGTTATCCGTAACGTACATATGTTAGGCCGAATTTTAAAAGTAACGAGGCAAGTTCGTATGATGGAAACCTGTTAAATTAGAACATAACAGGCGGAAAATAACAGTAATGTGTTATGAAAGACTTTACATCATACGAATTTGTCTCTTTGCTGTTAAAACTCGGCCTAACATGTACGTTACGGATAACGTAAACGTTCAATCATAGCACCCAATGGGTTTGTATGATGGAAAACTGTTAAATTAGAACATAACAGGCGGAAAATAACAGTAATGTGTTGGAAACCGTTTTTCATCATACGAACTTGCCATAATTACTGTTAAAACTGAACCTAACATCTACGTTACGGATAACGTAAACGTTCAATCATAGGACCATTAATTTGTCTCTTACAATTTCCGTTATTTCGATGTTAATAAACGATCATAAAATCACCCTATTTTATTTAAATAAGTACTATTTCCCAGCAGTTGTATATTAAAATGGGTTCTAAACTAATAATGAGGAACTGTAAACAGTAACTGAAAGTTTTTATTGTATGATTAAAGGATTAGATATTTATAATCTTCGTCTGGGTAGCGCAGTTGTGATGTAGAGCGAAGGTATTAAATTTTACAGGCCTTTTAGTGGCTGAGCAACACTTCTCGGATTCATATCCTAGAACAAACCATGCGCATGTGAATTTTTAATTAATTTGCATGATTCCTTGTAGGATTTGATGGGTGCCGTATTAGCATATCAATAATTGAATTTTTGTGAATATGATATCCAGATTATAAATGGCCGTGCGTTACCATTTCGATGATGGTGTGTGCGGGATTTTCCTCAAATGGCATCATCAATCATCTGTAACTCGCCCCGGAATGCGACGGAAAATAATAATATAATAATAGTCGTCCATTCCACGGACAAGCTCAGTCAGATTTTGGGAATAAAATTCACTTGTAAGGTAGCGAATTATTATAATAATTATTATATATAATGTTAACTTTGCTATCATAACTAAATAATGTAGAACGTTATAGAAACACACAAGAGTATTGATTAGAGAAAAAATAGTATAATAGAGGCGAACCGCAATGTACATGCAATATCTTATTATACTTGCCATCGAAAGGGCGTGCGGTTAACCCAATTATATACCCTCTTTTAGTTTCACGTCCAAATATAATGGGGCATGTTCAAAAATTTTGAAATTTTTTTTATGAATAGTAGAGTTAAAAATAAAACTACATTTTTTTTATTTTTTTTTTATCTATTCATTTGCCGGAGTTATGATTTTTTTAAAATTTATGACGTCACCGGGAATAGACCAATAGGAGCTAGCGCACAACGTTGCCGGCTAGAAGGTTTACGAGAAGTGATGTACGTTCGTTTGTGTACTCCTTCTTACTTTTAGACTTCTAAAACATCGTTAAACAAATATCTTTTAAATATATAATATCAAATGTTTTTTGAAAGTATTGTTTCTGTTTAAACTTTTACTATATTTAAAGTTTTATTGTTTTAAAAGTCACTTAATAATTCAGAAAATGGCAAAACGGCAGCACTGTATGTCATCTGTCATAGTGTCTCCATCAATAATTTATTTGGAATTTGAGTGTTTATTTTGTACTTTTTATAAATAAATATTATGACTACGAAAAAGTGTTTTGTTCCAGAATGTGATAATGATTCACATTCATCTTCAAAAATATTTATTAGTGTTCCTAGAAATTTGGAAAGGAGAAAATCAACCTTCTACTAGCGATGTTTCTCGTAAACTTTTTAATAAAAATACACCGGATTATCAAGATGTAGCAGCAATTTCTGCTAATTGTCCCCTTCAGGAAATTGAAAATGACGCTTCTATAAATTCTTAGGTGTATAACCTAAAAACCCTTCTGGAAGAAAATGCAGAATCTCCTGAAAGTTTTGAAGATACCGAATTTATTCATCATTTTGTGGAAGAACTAGTGATAAAGAAATAATAGAAAAATGTGGGTATTTAAACAAACTGGTTCCTGGATCCCATATAATGGCAGATAGGGGTTTCAGAATATTTAGCTACTTGAAAACATGGGATGCACTTTAGTAAAGCCACACCTAGTGTATCACAGAATGAAAAAAGTTCTCCAGAAGATGTACAATTAAGTAAAAGAATAGCATCTCTAAGAATACATGTGGAAAGAGTTATACGAAGGGTTAGTTAATTTAACAAGTTAAAACCACATTCGTGTGTGAATTTTAAGCAAGTACATTTACTTAGTAATATCTGCATAATTGCTTGTTAACTTACAAGAACCTATTTTGTAAGAGTAAATATTAATTTAATAAATTTTTTTTGTTTGTTTTTTTAATTTAATTTACCTAATTATCACTTTTCAGGGATTATAATGAGTTTTTAACAGCCAATGTAATTTTTTATAAAATTTTAACTTTTCGAACAAATCAAAGAGGAATGAGTACTTGTATATGCATAGATTTTTTTGGGACTAAAACTACCAAAACAAAGGCACCTATTTACAGCAGTTTAAAATGAAACATTTTGACAAAAACGCTTATGTCACAGTGATAAATATTAAAAACAACCAAGTTCAGTTGAATGTGGTAGCAAAGTCTATATACCTATTCCAATAAATCGGGTAACTACATGTGGTATCACTGGTGATAAATTTAAAAATATCACAATTCTTGCTACCTTTTTCAAAAAACCAGAAAGTGTGCCTTCTTATCAATCCTTTATGAAAATGACAACAGTGATAAATATAAAAAAAAAATTTAATGTTGCTATTCGTTATTACGATAGTAAAACATGTTTGCAGTTCCGTTTATTTTTTATGAAAATCTAAGTAAAAACCAATGTCAAAGGGTTATAATTTTTTTTCTGTTGAACCAAATATATCACAAAATTTAAAAATTGATCATAGGTCAAGCAAGTAATACCTTTATTGATAGTAGCTTTAAAAAAGGAGAAAGAATAATATTGACTTAAATTATTATTATTATTAACATTGGTGATTTTTAATAAAAACTCTTCAATTATTGTTTACAAACAAAAATATAAAAATCTGAAAATTTTATTTATTAATCTTTTAATAAAAAATGAGAAAAATGAAGTAAAAAACAATTTATTTACAAATAAAAAATATATATACAAATCCTAAGAATATAAAAGTACTGATTTATTTTCCTGTAGTGGATGAAGAGGTTTCTTTAACAATCTAGCCAAGTGTACATCAATATTTATGCATTTTGATAAATTAGAGCCTTTCCAATAACACTGAATAGATGTTACAAATAGTTCATCACTTCTTCTATGAAGCCACATATTTACAATCAACTGAAAAAATAAAAGGGTTAGATATGCAGTTACAAAATAACTATATAACCAGCTACAAAATGCCTTTATTTTATGTAACAAGACGAGCAGAGCTTTACTAGCTCTGAACGAATCCAGTAAAGAACCTCGGATTTTCAAAACTTAAAAAAAAAACAATCTCACCACATTTTTGAAATATTAGAGCTTTTCGAAAAAAACTGCTATTTTTAAAAATACAATTTGTTTAAACAGCTATGTCTCATTTTAGGCTATTGAGTATTATAAAATAAAAAATTACGGGATGCTTTGTTAGCTTCAAACGAATCCAGCAGAGCACCCCAGTTTTTTTTTAAACCACACCACGTTTTTTGGCTCCTACAATATTATAAAATATTCGAAATTTGGCATTTTAAAAAAAATTCGCAATTCCTTGCTGACTTCAAAGTTTTTTTCTGAAAACAAATGTACTTACCACATTTTTAGGATTTTAAAACAGCCTAAACATGTGTCATAAGTAGTTGTTTTTATATATAAAAAAAAAAATTAAAAAACTGAAGTGTCCTGCTGACTTTGTTCCAACAAAGCACCCTGTATTATTTAAAAATAGCAATTTTTTTAGTAAAGTTTTACAATATTTCAAGAGTCTAAAAATGGGGTGTGGTTTTTAGAAAAAAGCTTTAAAAAACCGAATTGCTCTGCTGGCTTCTTTCGAAGGTTAGCAAGCACCATGTATTTTTAAAAATATAATATTTCAAGTGCATAAATATATGGTGTTGCTGTTTTTACAGAAAAAACTTTATAAAATAGAGGTGCTTTGCTGACTTTGTTCGAAGCTATAGAGCATTTTAAGTTTTGCAAAAAACGAGGAGCATAAAATTTTTGAAAAGGGTATAAAAATAGCCTAAAAATATGGCATATTTTTTAACTCAAAATTTCATAGGTGCTCTGCAGCATTCTTTGGTATCATAATTATTACTAGGTTCACTAACAAAATCTGTTTCTAGATTATTTTAACACTTGCTGCGATTACAAAAAATGTCTGTAGGTCAAAATTAGAAAAAAAATATTTATAGGAATAAAGGGCCTTATAAACTGTTTATTATATGTAATATAAAAACAAAAAAGCATAATAAATATTACAAACCTTGACATGCAGCATATCCTTAGCATATTGTGCACTAAAAATTTCATTTTTGTTAATTACAATGCAACCACATCAGAAGGTTTTTGCCGTACTTTATGTTTAGGTGTAATTTGTCTCCTTCTCTCTTATGGAAAAAGAAATTATCCCCATATACTTGCTTGGCAGATCTAAAAATAAAACCTGAGATAAATATGTTTTACTTGCTCCATATAAACTGTAACTACCTACTATTAAAACAAAGTCTTACCTTTGTGACTAACAAAGTCTTACCTTTGTGACTTTTGTAAACTGAGTATTGTTAAAAAATGCAGTAATCATATTTTCGTTTACAATGGGTAAAACACTTGATTCAACTTTTATAAATCCAGCTGATTCATATTAATAATAAAATTAAACCCTTTTTATTTTTCTATGATTAAACCAAAACAAAAAACTAAGGTTAGAGGTGTCAATTTTAATGTCACTTAGATGTGCGTTCACTTCGACATTCTGTGTGTTGGTTTGTTCGTTGGCTTGGTTTTGTATAACAAAAAAAACTTCGACACAAGATGATTGGTCTATTCCCGATGACGTATAATTTCAAATTTTAAATTTCAATTGGGCTTAATTTAAAAACTTTTGGCTTTTTTAACGAACTGACTATTTAGAATAACTTGTATAGCGACTAACTATTACAATATAATTTATAAAACAGCATATCTCACATGTGAACATGGCCCATTAAGCGTCTCAACTTTATTCTGCCGGGTGGGTCTATAAGATATAAAAATGAAGGAATTAGGGAATTTGCCAAATCTATTAGAGACGAGCGTGGATAAGAGTGTTGGGAGTGGTACATGGTATATATACATCTTGTCCAATATTCATTGTAAAATAGATGGCCCGCGTTTAAATTTCCTTACCTGTTGACTTATTCGGTGATACAAACAAAGAAGTTTCAGAAAAAAAGGGTATATTGTTTGACAGCTAACAACAATGTACAAAGTAGTTCATTTTAAAAAAGTTTCGTTAAGCTAATCAACCATATTTATGATTGAAGGATATTATACAGCCCCTCTATCATCATCTGGCTGCAAAAAGTGACATGTCATGTTTTTGCTTGCTATTTGTAGAGTAATAGGTATAACATGTACTATGTCCCGGTGGTGGGAACTGTCGTCTAACCTGTCGATGGATTTTTCGTTTTTTGCTTGCAATGAAATTAATTTACTTCTAGACGTTTATAACAATAAAACAATCGCTTTTCTGTTGTTTGGTTTTGCTACTATCGATGTAAGGAAATTCCAAAAGTTACACCGAAAGTAGCAAAACTGAATGACAAAAAATGCTTTGAAAGGGAATTATTGTATTGTTATATAGATTTCTATAGAAGCAAAAGTTATTTCATTGCCATCAAAAAAACGGAAAACTCCATCGATGTGAAACATTAATTTTTTTTATTTTGACAGGTTAGTCGACAGCTCCCACCACTGGGACGTCGTACATTTTGTTCACACACCCCCCTCTCCCAACTGTAAACAGCGAGCAAAAAACACGAAATGCAACTTTTACTTTAAAAATTGAATGGAAGGAATATATTAGATAACATTTGGCAACCCCGTCTGACCTCTTCCAACTTGCGCATTGCAGTCATTGCACCGGTATTTGATTATGACGTCATCGGTGTCATCGATAATAAAATAAATTTTGTTCCAAGTGAGGTGCCATTTTGTGGCTCCGTTAGAAAAAGTTTTGTAAAGATTTGGTAAAAACCAGTATTGTGTAAAATTTGTGAATTAGAATTCCAAATAAATGTGAGTAATATACGTAGTTTTGTTTTTATGGCAAATAATTAGTTTGGATATATATTGTTCTTGTACCACACCCCGTTCAAATGTTTAATCAAAAAAGGTCACCACATTGTTTTAAATTAAAATTAATAGGTGCCAAATGAATGCTCAAGGTTTGTGGATCCCTAAATTTAAAATTATTTAAGTTTTTAGGGTATAGTTAACAGCTATGAAACTTTTTGAATTACCTAGATAAACATCTAATGGGTGGACTAGATTACCTAAAAGTGAAAACTTGTTTTACCTACTACCTATTTTTTTGCAGATAATAATATTTATTATACCTAATGTAAAACGAGTGTTGAATAATAGACTTTTTTTTAAGTATGTAAATAAGTAGGTTAGTTTCCACTATTACAATAAATATAAAAAGTATAGGTATACCTGTACATATTTATTTTTCACTTGTTTGTTATACCTTCCTTGCTATAGGATAGTGGTTCCGAATCCCCCTGTGGTTTGCCTACAATCTATAATGCCTTACTACTGGGGTATTGCAGATGCCTACCACTGGGGTATGTGGAGGATGGGTAAGGGATATTTGACTAATTTTTTATGAGTATATCATCGGCTTAAGATGCAAAAGGCCTGACTCCACTTTTAGCTCAAAATTGTTTTTAATTTGGTCTCGTTTATAAAAATTTACCTCATTAACTGAAAAAGACCTTATGAAATGTCAAAATTGTCACTCACAAGTCCAAATAGGCCTATCTCCCACTTATTTGGAAACAGTCCAATTCAGTGACAGTTTAGCCTTTTAGCTAACAAATATTAATACACTGGATAAACTTTGGAATCGTATATTTGTCTTAAATTATTTTTAATAAAAACCCAAAACTCAAAAACTAAAACTAACATGTTCTGTGTGTCAGAATTAAAAACATCTGTCGACTTATGAATGACAACCACTCCTCTAGTGTTAATGAAATTTAAATGTTTTATTTTGTTTAACTTTACTAAAACCTTCTTTTTTCACAAATGCTGGTTAACCTATCCTTGCCTATAGATATGACCATTTCTTTATTATTATATATTTAAAAAGCTTGTCATTTCTTACATTTGTTTATCTCCTAATTCACAATGAGGATAAAGTTCAGTCATATTCTTTCATTTGATATCTGATAACATTCATTCTATTAACTGTGTTTTTAATGTGTTGTATGAATCAGGATCACACTGTATACTAAATAAATTATTTTCTTTTATTATTTCATACCCCAAACACAGAACTTTAGTAAATTTTATATTGTTAGAATAATATTGTTTATCTTGGAAATGGATTCCGTGGCTTTAAACCATAACTCTGGTTCTTTGGTCCAAAAGGTAGGTAAATCAACTGACTTTAGAATAGCTTTATTTTTATACCCTCTATTTCGTTCGGCGCTATTTCATGACAGACAAAGACACAGTAATTATATTTTTGGACAGTTTAGACCTTAAACAAATCTAAAAATAAACACTTGATCGATTTAGATAAATTGAATCATTAAAAAAATGGTTTTTATTAAATACTTTTATTTTTTATTTATTTATTTTATTTTACTTACTTATTTATTTATTTATACAAGTTCATACAAGTTTATTAATAATGTAATTTCTGGAATATAAAACAGCAAGCGCCTAAGTGAGTGAACACTTGTATTGCGCTGGTTAATATATGTTTAATACTTTCATTTTAATATAATATAATTGTAATAATATTGCGTTCATCTTAGAATAAAATAATGATGTGATTACATGTTTATACCTACCCTACCCTAGTATTTTTATAAACTCATTATAATGTAAAAAAATAAATAATAAATATCAGTTTAACATGAGCTCCTTTTAATCTTATGCATTCCCTAGCTCTAAGAATGAAAGATTATTAAATAAAAAGTGATTTCCAGGGGCGTCTGCTATGGGCCCGTATCTCTGTATGGGGGGAAGGCATAGACAAATGAATTTTTATGTAATGTTATCTAATGTATTATATTATAATCTGGGAGATATGCCACATATTCTGGGACATTTTCCTGTATATTGGCAAATTCCCACAAGTCAAAAATCGACCTTGCAACACATTTGTTGTTATGAGGTGTTAGGTAAATTGTGACCCAAAAAATCTACTATAGAGTGGCATAGCTGAGGCAGCATTTTCAACTTGTAAAGATTCTTTTAAATTAAAATAAATAAACTCAAAGCCAATATCACATAATTACGAGCGACCGTTTCCCTTCAGAAAACAACTACTCCTTTGGCTAATACCACAAGAGGTTTTGAATTATATCTGAAGAAAAAACAGCAGAGTTAGAAATTAAATTTCAACACTCTACCTTTGATTTTGTTCACTAAGGAGAACATCATTCTTGGACCGGTTTCGTCCTTTTTAGGACTCTTCAGCAAGAAATAGATAGGTTATCAATTCCAGTCTCTAATGGAATTAACAAGAGTGAATGAGAGCAACCAGTGATGTAATGATCTGAAATATCAATCGCTCGCTCTAGGCAACGCTATCGCATTGCCATGCTCGCTCATACTCTGAACAAAGTTTAAGCCAGTTTGTGCTGTTGTGAATTGTTATCAAAATAGTACAAAATAAATAGAGGAAAGATTAATGGGTTACCTAACTGTAGGGATTATATTATAATAAATAAAATGTAATTAAAATAAACAGCGTTAGTCGTATTTTTCATTTTTCATATTTTCTCAAACTTGTAAAATATTAAAAAAAAAAAAATGAAAAATTTTTTCAGTAAACGAAAAGAAAAATTTTAATGTATACACTGTGAACTTCCTTCCTTTCACAAACAAATACTAAGCGACAAAAACATTTAAAAACAGATGTAGGATTTTAGTGGCGTCCTGTTCTAACTGAATTTCATTGACTAAAAAAGTAGGGGTCAAAGGAATGCGGAATCTTTCTAAAAAACTATAGAATTAAAACAATTTTAAACACGAATTCCATTTTATTAGTCACTGTATACTAACATCCCATATACACTTTCACAAAAATATGGTAAGCCATTTTAGAGTAAGAGCACAAAATCACTTCTTAAACTTTTAACAGGCTGAACGTTTTTTACTATTTATTTTTTATATAAACAAGTTAGTTAGCTTATTTTCGACCCCAGAATCTATGATTACATTTACTATACATATTTTTGTTACACCCTGTATTATGTATCAGTATTATTATTTATTGCAGTGATAAAAAAAAAAAAAAGCTTCTAACTTATACAATTTAAAAAATAGAGAAGTCTAGTTTGTTAAAGTTCATTAAAGTCCATAAATGAGTCATGCCTAGGAAGGTCACACTTTATTTTGAATTACATAAGTGTTATAGCATCAATGTATGTATGAGTAATGGCTATTTTTAGATAAAAAACAATGTAAAATATCAACATAATTTCTTTTTAATTATTCTAGTTTGAAATAAAAATGTAGAATATGAATTTTGTACGCGACCAGACGTTCGGATAAACCTGGACAAAATTTAAATGTCCGGCTATTTTTTCCTTCCGTGTCCGGCTTTTCCTTCTGTTCAGATTTTTCGCATTTTCCACTTTAAAATAGAGAATCAGCAATTTTTGTGATTGTCTTTATCCCCGTTTATTATTATTATAATTTTTTTTAAATAAATTGCTTTTTGTTTATTTTTATGTTTCCGATTTACAATATGGGTGTCCTCGGATCGACTGAAAAAGAGGAACATTTTTTTCTAGAGAATACGTTTTTTCTTCATAAAAAGTTTTTGATTGCTTCAAATATAATAATCAGAAGTTGAATCTCTTTGCTGCAGTGAAATAATAACAAACACAATAATTATATTTTTCAACATGAAATAATACAAAAAAAGAAAGTTTTTGTTTTAGTTTATAATATTCAACATGAAAACCACCCAGCAAAATCTTTTATGATGAAAAGGTAAAAATAAAAAAGTTTTTCATCTTTTTCAGTCCATCCTTATTGTCCAAAATCATCCTTTATTGTTGTCTATTTTTTAAAATGTATTAAATTCAAGTTCTTAAAATGATAAAATCATCCAGCCAAGCACAAGTCCAATTTTGTTTTTTTATTCAAAATTCACATTTTATTAATTTTGTCACTCAGAAAAGGAAACTACAGCAAATTTTGTTACTATCTACATACATTGATAAGATTTATTTTATCAAATATTGCTTATCAGTTTAAATAAAAATATTATTGAATGAGGTAATGTGTTAAATTTAATTATTGCTGTCAGACTGATTAATGTTTTTTTTACACTAAACTAATAACGTCTTTTTATAATAAAATTTACCTACCTTAAATAAATAAACTGAAATATCTAATTATTAAAAATTTTCGTCACTATTAAAAATTTTGGCGTTTCCTTACAACAAACTCTCTGATTATGTGCTTAAATGGTTAAAATATAGGTATTTTCTAGTAAGATCAAATGTAATTAGGAATGATACTGTGAAATGGTTTCCATATTATCAGAGGCCACGATACACATATACCGGTATGCTCCTGCTCATGTTAGCTCTATCCTTATCACATGCATATCGTCATGTGGCATAAAAATCCGACGCATCTACATAAATAGAAGCAACGGGACGTTTTCGATAATAACAAACTGTAACATTACTTCATTGTTAAAGGTTGTGGTTTTTATGAAGTAAAAGTAAAAAAGTTATTGTATAAGTACAGATATTGCACAAATTTTATGAATATTTAGTTAATTTATTATTGCAACTAAAACAATAAGAAGAAAGGTGATAAAGTACAATAAACAAAAACACTTTATTTTAAAGAAATGTATCATACATAAGTTCATAACATGTCAAACAATAATGCACAATTTGAACGGACAAGATTCGCGTAAAACTGCAGGGTGTCTGATTAAGGGCTGTTAGCGACTATATCTCAGAATATTTTGGAGGATTTTTTTTTAAAATGGAAATACTGATATCATGATCCAAGTACCAGTTTTTTGGGGG